TTAGGTCACCATTTGGTCCGGGAGACATCTGCCGTCACGCAGGGTGCAGTCGCGCCTCCACAGATCTCCAGTATCAGCTCTTGATACTGGTAATGGCTCAAAAGGGCCACCACTTACGGGCTATTTATGCCCGTGCCATCTCTTGGGTGGCTTAATCTTTATCAATCATCAATCAGAGAGACATATCTCATTTTGGAGATAGTTCAACACCAGACGACAAAAATAATTCCTGAACTAAGTTGTCTCTCATACCAGGCACGGTTGAGGGCCACAGGGAGGGATGCTGGAGGAGAAGGTAGGAGAAGAAGGAGAGACTGGGAGAAAGGAGGAAGGGGAAAAGAGAGGAGGTGGAAGAGAGGGGGAGGGGAAGGGATGAGAGAGACCTGAGTACAGTTGGGTACCCCATCAAGTAGGATTATAAACCCGGGGAACCGCCTACCCGCAGATGCTGTAAATATAAATATGTTAATTCAGTTTAAAATTCAGGAACAAAGGGGAACAAGAACCTTGAAGCTTGAAGGTAAGTCTGAAGAGACAGTCAGGTAAACGATGTCCAGTCCTGTCTACTCTTTTTTTTTCTTTTGCATGGGAACAATCTCCACCTGTGTGATACATTCCTCCTATGGTGGTGTTAATTATTTCTTAAGTAATGAAATACATTCTTACAGGACATCATATTTTGTAACAGAACATAAATTTCTCATATATACCTTCTTGTTATACATTAAAAGACATTGTTCATTTCTTCCCATCTTTTGAACTTAGTGGATTAATTCATTAGCTCCCCCGTCTCTCATTAGTTTAATCCACGAAGTCACATTTTATGTCAAACTCGACCCCCAAAACTCTGAGAATTGAGGTCCCCATCCCCGTGGCGTAGTGGTAAGACGCTCAACTGGCGTTTCGCGAGCGCTTTGGCTTGGGTTCGTATCCTGGCCGTGGAAGATTTACTGGGCGCAAATACTTAACTGTAGCCTCTGTTTACCCAACAGTAAAATGGGTACCTGGTTGTTAAACGATTTGGCGGGTCGTATTCCAGGAACATAGGATTAAGGACCTGTCCGAAACGCTATGCATGCTAGTGGCTAAACAAGAATGTAAGAACTCTTGTATATATAAATAAAATAAAAATATATTCTATCCTCATTATCTCAAACACAGCACTTCTTGGGCATCCTAAGGTTATTCTCATAGATTCGTTTTGTGCCTTCTCTATATTTTTGTCTTGTTCACCTCTACAAAGACCGGCGCAGCATAATTAAGTTACAGCTCCGCTCCTGTGCCAAGTAAGTCTACTACGGGCTCACCATAGCCCGTGCTACTTGGAAGTTTTTGTTCTAAACCTAGAAGCTGAATCTTAAACAACAACAACGCAGCATAATCGGTATAAGAAATCTCACAGTAGTTATGTATATCCTGCGTAGCACTCTCTCTACAACATGCCAAGGCTTTTAAAGATTTTATAATTTCTTTCCATACTGACCCCCCAAAAAAACGGTTCAACATGGCTACCAAACTCACATGGGTATATTCATATTTCATTCACTAAGGCCATCGGAGCCTTGAAACGCAAGCAGCCCTTAACCTAATGAGTCATCAACATATTATTATATTTTTTAACTCTTTCTAGATTTTCGTTTTTATTTATAATTATAATAAACTTCCAATTTCTACATTCAACCCTAGCTTTATCTTCATTAACTCCCGGCTGCATATTGTAAACACAGGTCTCCGAATTTGCCCAACACCGTTTGCATATTTAGAATATCTTTACCCTGAAACAAAATGTCATCGGCATATATGGCTGGAGTTAGGCTGTTTGAGTATCTCTCGGATGTTATCCAATTCATTAGTATATTAAACAGGGTGGGACTTAACACCCCTCCCTGAGGTCTGCTGAACTCAAAAGATCTCACACTTGACATACAACCTTGACACCACACGTGAGCCTTTCTTCTTTTTTTTTTAGATATATACAAGAGTTGTTACATTCTTGTACAGCCACTAGTACGCGTAGCGTTTCGGGCAGGTCCCTGGAATACGACCCCCGCCGCGAAGAATCGTTTTTTCATCCAAGTACACATTTTACTGTTGCGTTAAACAGAGGCTACAGTTAAGGAATTGCGCCCAGTAAATCCTCTCCGGCCAGGATACGAACCCATGACATAGCGCTCGCGGAACGCCAGGCGAGTGTCTTACCACTACACCACGGAGACTGTGATTCATGAAGATAACCCTGCCGCCGATCGGCCGAGCGGACAGCACACTGGACTTATGATCCTGTGGTCCCGGGTTCGATCCCGGGCGCCGGCGAGAAACAATGGGCAGAGTTTCTTTCACGCTATGCCCCTGTTACCTAGCAGTAAAATAGGTACCTGGGTGTTAGTCAGCTGTCACGGGCTGCTTCCTGGGGGTGGAGGCTTGGTCGAGGACCGGGCCGCGGGGACACTAAAGCCCCGAAATCATCTCAAGATAACCTCCCTATCCAGCACAATAATCTCTTTAACACTAGTTAGTTCACACAATGTGACTTTTGTATAGCTTTATCAAAGGCTCATAATTGTAAGTCATTATCATTACACAGACATTCAATAACAGAGGCGAATCCGAACAAGTTACTGGACAACTGATGTCTTTCCATGTATAAAAGTGTACATCAAATTTTCCTCTCATATCAAAAAATCGAACACGGACCACGTAAGATACAGGGGTTTCGTTCTATTGACTTGTCAGGGTGGTACTGGGACCAGACCACCCATCCCCAGGGATAGATTTACCCAGAAACAGGTATAGATTAGCTTAGAATAGTCAGAAGGATTAAGCGGTCAGAGAATAACTATGAAAGATTAAACAAAAGCCGCATTGAACAAACACATAATATATGATTATAATATTTTAATGAGACATTGTAACCCTCAACCCCCCCCCCCCTTTAAGAAGGCTTGGTCGACGACCGGGCCGCGGGGACGCTAAGCCCCGAAAACACCTCAAGGTAGGTAACCTCCCTATCAGAGTTTTTTCTTAAACTGTTGTGCAATATTATAACTTAAAAATGAGTTACGTTTGTACATACCAGTACTAACATTGAGAAGATTTGGACACTGTTTGATCAGGGCAAACTCAATCAAATTCCGTTCCACGAAACCACTGCAGTTGGTAATGCTTTTCGATCCTTCCCAATTAATGTGGATTTTCCGCATACAAATGATCAGACCACGAAGGAAGAAATGAAACAGGAATTTTCTTAGTACTTTTGTATTTAATAATACATCTTCAGAAGAGTAACCCTTCTGAAGATGTACCATTCTGTTATGTACTCTCATAAACCCAATGTAACTTCTTGTATATATATAAATAAAATAAAATAAAAATTATTATTAAATTATTATATATGAATAATTTAATAGGTTCCGAATGACATTTGGGTTAATAGGTCTTTTGAAATAACTTAATTCTTATGTTCTTACCAATCGTGGGATTGCTTAATTGTTTCAATCGTCTGTTAGACATAAGTGAATGAGTTTGGGCGGGTATAATAAATATGCGTAGTTAAAAAATATAGATGTTTATCACTCAGAATGATCAGTAATATGTTGATTATGATATGTAATTACCTAAATGTAATTACCTAAGTGTAGTTACAGGATGAGAGCTACGCTCGTGGTGTCCCGTCTCCCCAGCACTCTTTGTCATATAACGCTTTGAAATTACTGACGGTTTTGGCCTCCACCACCTTCTCACCTAACTTGTTCCAACCGTCTACCACTCTGTTTACTAAAGTGATTTTTCGTATATTTCTCCGGCAGCTTTGTTTCGTTAGTTTAAATCTATGACCTCTTGTTCTTAAAGTTCCAGGTCTCAGGAATTCTTCCCTATCAATTTTATCGATTCCTGTTACTATTTTGAACGTAGTGATCATATCGCCTCTTTTTCTTCTATCTTCTAGTTTTTGCATATTTAATGCCTCTAATCTCTCCTCGTAGCTCTTGTCCTTCAGTTCTGGGAGCCACTTAGTGGCATGTCGTTGCACCTTTTCCAGTTTGTTGATGTGCTTCTTAAGATATGGGGACCATACAACCGCTGCATATTCCAGCTTTGGTCTCATAAAAGTAGTGAACAATTTCTTTAGTATTTCTCCATCCATGTATTTAAAAGCAATTCTGAGGTTAGAAAGTGTAGCATAGGCTCCTCGCACAATGTTCTTAATGTGGTCCTCAGGTGACAGTTTTCTATCTAGAACCACCCCTAGATCCCTTTCTTTGTCAGAACTCTTTATATATTTCTCACATAATTTATAGGTTGTGTGAGGTCTATGTTTTCCAATTCCACATTCCATAACATGGCATTTATTCACATTGAATTCCATTTGCCAAGTGTTGCTCCATATACTTACTTTGTCCAGGTCTTCTTGAAGGGCATAACAATCATCTAGGTTTCTTATCTTCCCCATTATCTTAGCATCATCAGCAAACATGTTCATGTAATTCTGTATTCCCACTGGTAGATCGTTTATGTAGACAATGAACATTACCGGTGGAAGAACTGAACCCTGTGGTACTCCACTCGTGACATTCCTCCAATCCGATACCTTGCCTCTGATTACGGCCCTCATTTTTCTGTCAGCTAGGAAATTTTTCATCCATGTTAGTAGCTTACCTGTCACCCCTCCAATATGTTCCAGTTTCCAGAACAACCTCTTATGGGGAACTCAGTCGAAAGCCTATTTTAGGTCCAGATAGATGCAGTCAACCCAACCATCTCTTCCCTGTAAAATCTCTGTGGCTCTGTGTAAAATGTGTGTGTGCATATAAGCACGTTGTATTGAACTGGGTGAGAATAGCTACCTCATCCCTTTGTGTATGTATTTATACCTTAATCAACGTAATTTCAACGTCAATTTCAACATGCGTAGTGGGCCTACGGGTTTATAGGAATTAGGGATAGAAGGCGGCCGGACGGGCCGTGCTCTGTGGACCAGTCCAGCCTGGTGCTGCCATCTACCCGCACTCGGTTTGTTTTGTTACTGGCAGACAGGAGGGTCCTTGAGTTCCCCCTCCAGCAGTCGTCCCCTCTCATACCTTAGTGTGGATTAAGCCCTCCTTCTGATTGTTCCCCATTCCGGAAAAGAAGAGCCTTGCAGTGATTACCAAAGAGACAGTCTGTCACTTGAGGCTGTCTGTAGTCAGTGTGTGTGGGGGTTTGAGAAAAAATTGTGATTGTGGAAGGGAGAAACTTTCACAGTGTGTGTGTGTCTCTTGGTGCTTGGCGGACCAGTGGTGTGATTTTGGTTGTCCTTGGCTGGGCTGGATGACCCCAGTAGCACCTAGACTGTTCTCACAGCTTCAGTGGTACGCACTTGGTTAAAACACACACACGTTACCACCGTTGTAACTTAAGTGTCTAGAACTCAAAGTCGCAGAAACTTTTAGAGAGCTGCATCGACTCTCTTTCTTTCAAGATCACACTGTTTACATCGCAAGACACAGGGAATGTGGTTTAGTGTATAACTGTGGAGGAAAAACTCTTAAGACAGATGGCAGTGTTGGCAAGGTTTGTGGGTCTCTGCTTCACCACCCTAAAGGAAGAGAAACTCTGTCTAACACCAGTGCAGATAAGATTTCAGTAACAGTCAAGCCTTTCTTTATTTTTTAAGTTTAGTCAAGAAAACGAAAGTGTCTTCCAATGTGTCGGTCAGCAACAGCAGTTCGAGTGATGAGATGAGCGTGATGTCAGACGGTGGGGGGCAAGGTGGAGGCGAGTCCAGCAAGCCATACGATTACTTGTTAAAGTTTCTGTTGGTGGGCGACAGCGATGTTGGCAAACACGAGATCCTGCAGCCCCTCGAGGACGGCTCCACCGAGTCCCCCTTTTGTGTCGGCAGTGGTGAGCATAACCAAAATATTTATTGTACAAGTTCATGGACTGTGAGAATAGGTTATGACACGCTTGATATCTGGAGCTTATTTCTTTTTATGTGAAACATTAACTATTGCCAAGGCCTATGAATAATACATGTACTAGTAAGCATTACTAGAACGTTCTACTTGGGTCATGATATTTAGTGCTAATTTATTTTATGTGAATTAGACTACAGCCAAAGTTTCTAATTTGCATACTAGTAAGCAATGTTGCATTCAGCTTAATAATGTAACAGTATCCATACCTTTTGGTTAGCTTTACATGATTCTGAGGAGCAAAGTCCCCACTTTCCAATCTCTGACCAGGCCTCCTGGTTAGTGGTCTGTCAACCAGGCTGTTCAATGTGGCTGCTCACAGCCCGATGTATGAATCATTGCCCGAAACGCTTTGCGTAATAGTGGCTTTAGGCATTGTATGTACTAGCTCTATCTATAAAGCCAACAAACTTTGTAAAATCTCTTTATGTATGTACCTTACCTAAATAAAAATTATTATTATTATTATTATTATTATTGGCCGGTTGATCAGATATTCTTTGAATTGGGTAACATTCCTAGATTAACTTACCGGGTACTCGGTTCAGAAAATATCATGACAATGGGTGGCATGAATCCTCAACCCACAAACACAAAAAGAAAGGAAAGCAGTGATGTTTCAGTCTATCCTGGAATCTTTTATAAATTTGTGTCAAGAAACATGAAGATAGAGAAATACAAAAATAATGCAGTAATTTATAACTTTGTATAAATGTTTAAAAAAAAAGGACACTGGGAAAGTTGTATGTTTTTTATGGATAGCTTTATTAATTTCATGTATGTTACCATTGTGTACTTTTTTGTATGATGTAAAAATAGTATGATTAAGATTTATTTCTAATGTACTGCATCGGGCATCACTCAAGATGGAAATATTTTGAGAGTTCATTTCTATATTTTAATTTCATTAAACATGCAACATATTGCCTATATCAGCCATGGATAGTGCTATATTATGTTAAAACACTAGATAGTGGATGCCATATTTTATTTACACATGAACAGTGCTAATGCATGTTGGTATTCACAGGCCACAAGACTACCACCATCCTGCTGGATGGCAAGAGGGTCAAACTGCAGTTGTGGGACACTTCTGGCCAGGGACGCTTCTGCACCATCATAAGATCGTACTCACGGGGTGCTCAGGGAATTCTGCTCGTGTATGACATTACCAACAAGTGGTCCTTTGAGGGCCTAGATCGATGGATGAAGGAGATTCAAGAGGTTAGAAATTTAAATATTTTTTCATTATATAAATATTATTCAACATTGAAATTGAAATAAAGTTCTTGAATTTAAATTCAAGAACTTCTTTCTTGAATTCTAACTGGTTTCTGACATTATCTGTGCTATTCCACTTGGTTATTTTATAAGACATGACCCTGTTGACCTAGGATTAGGATCTCGCACCGAGCAGGTCAACTGTCAGCTCTGTCACAGCTTAGAACTTTTCAAATTGTCCATGCCTGAACAAAATGGTACTAATAGGACACTGGAGAATACACAGTTCAAACCCGATTGCTGCTGGAAAGCATTTTCATGCAGAACTCAAACTCTTTTCTTAGCATCAGTAGGACTGCCAAGCAGTGTTCGGGTTAACTACCAAATGATCCATTAGTCTAAGCCATTATCTATTTTGAGTTAGGTGACTTGTTTTAGACTGAATGTTTCATTGTACAGTCCCTGAGTGTGCTACACTCTTCCCCATTACCTGTTGCTTCAGAGGAGATTTGCTCTGAGGTGCCAGTTCCAGCCTGGAGTTTTTTCACATTTCCTTCTGTGCTTCGGGGAAACCTGTTTTTCCTTTGTATGATGCATTGGAGTTACCATATATGGATATTTTCCCCCCTTCCCCAGTTTGGAAGTTGGGTCCCTGTTCTGTACTATACAAAGTTTTTCCGGTAACAAATTTCTCCAAATTTTGAGTTTTTGCTATAATGATGTCCATTTAGGATTTTTGTGTGTCTCACTTTATATACATTTTATGAATACAGATAATACAGTTTTAGCAGCCAATAATTTGAGATAGAGTATGTAGATTAGTTGAAAGTTTGTTGGGGGTGTCAAGAAGACTGCCAAAAGTGAGTATGTACAAAATTAGATATACAGAGAAATCCTAGATAAATTTGATTACCCAATCTCTACTATATGAACAAAGTTAGATGCATTTGTAATGTTAGGAGGATGGATAGAATAACCTTACAAAGTCATTGGAAGATGTGTAGGCCTGGTGTGGGTGTCTGTTTATTATTAGAGTGTGGAGAGTACTGTATATTGAGATTATTTGACATATTTAACTAATGTATGATGATAAGAATGGCAAAGAAATGTGTTCAAGCAAATTTCAAAGTAGGAGGAAGAGAGAGAAGTACATAGATTATGTACCAAAATGGCTTGGAAGTGTAAGTATATATATTACGTATATATATATATAAAGCTATATCCTACAAAATAGATGCATGTAAATTATTTATATTGCATACATTGATTTCTTGATTTTTTTCCCAGCATGCTCCTGGTGTTCCTAAGGTATTAATTGGCAACCGACTTCATTTGGCATTCAAGAGGCAGGTAAGCCAGAGTCAGGCAGAGCAGTATGCTGCCAAGAATCATGTGAACCTCTTTGAGGTCAGCCCTCTGTGTGACTTTAACATCGTCGAGAGCTTCACGGAACTGTCGAGATTGGCTCTGAAACGCAATGGTATGGAACGCTTGTGGAGAGCAAATAAAGGTAAATGGAAGAATGTTATGGCTCTGGTTTTTAATCCATTCTGTTTTCAGTTTTATTTTTGTCAAGTTAGCATGCAAGTTAAGGTTTCAATGAATTTTGTTATAGATGTGCTATATACATCACTTGTTTAACAGCATAATTAATATATTTTAGGCATTATGAAAGTGTTGGACTAAAGGACAGTTATAAATTGTGCTTTACTTGCAATGGTCAAAGACGTTGAGATTTCTTTTTACAATGCATGGCAAATGTTTATCAACATATTTTTGGTTTTAATCCATTTTTAATGGCATATTTTGTTACTCTGGTATTTATAACAAAATATAATTTACTTGTTTAAGTTTGGAATTGGTACATCAATGTCATAGTTACTAAAGAAAAGAAAATAGGTACAAACATTCCTGATCTTAGCCTTGTTGTAGATGTATATGTACTTGTAACTTGTGGTATTGTATTATTTCATTTTGTTTATAGTTATATTACACTTTACAAGATAAACTTGTGAGTGCCAATTATATAGTGGCTTCTTTGTTGGAGTCAAGCTTATATGATGATGTGAACCATTTGGGAGACACCTACTCGTGAGTGATTTCAGAAGGCTCGACTGGGCACTAATCATTTTGCCTGAGGCAAAGTATTGTGTCAAGGAGTGCTGGGGTTAAAACATATGAATCTACTGGAGGTTATTCTGGGCTTAGTAGATTAACCTTTAGTGTCTTGCTAAACATTTTCTGATTTGCCAGAGATGATTGAACAGTTATTCACCATAGCGAGTGTGAATGTTAATGGTTCTAAGAACCAGTTGAATAGACTGTTCAGAAATTAACTTTTCATCTAACTTTATTTTTTACGAGGTTATTTGAGGGCGGGGTGATCTGACCACTATCCATTTCTCTAACCCTCCCCCCCCCCCCTCCTTTCAATCTCAGGGCAGAGGTAGGTAACTATTAGCATTTTGGATATTCTGTAACCTCTTAACGATGAAAACCTTGAATACAAATTCCGCAAATAGAAAGTTTCCTGACACCCCTGTACTCGCTACACTACTGTCTGTATCTTGAGATAGACCATCTTGGTTAAACCTCTCTTGATCAGCTAGGATAAACATTTTATTCTTTATTATACTGCATAAATATACTTTTCCTTTAGTGATTTAAGGTATGGGAAATTCTTCTCAAAGTATACAAATTTCCTCTACAGTGTTAACACTCCAAGAATTGTGCAGTCGTGCCATTGTGGCGACGACTACAGTGTATGGGATTGAGCACCTGCCACTTCCGCAGCCGATAAAGTCGCATCTGAAAAGTTACACGATTCACAATCACACAACCCGACTCAGACAGGTGAGTACAGTCCCCACCGCTGCATGCATTCACCACCTTCATCCCCCCCCCCTCTCCTCTCCTTCATTATATTAAATTACTGGATAATATTCTGCATATATGTATCTAAATATTTTCATGTACAGTGAGAACTCGCTTGAATGTAAATCAACTCGTCGTGCCCAAGGCAATCCATCCCCCAATTGGAAAAAGAGGAAAAGGATGGATGATTTTGTTAAGATTAAGATGTATATGAAGTTGCTAACTGAATGGCAGGTTAAATTACTACTAAAATGTTATTTTTTTCTTTAATTACAGGGAATCCCATTAACAGATAAACACAAAAAAAAGCACCTAATGATTCCCGGTGACACCACAACGTCTTGTGTCAACACTTCTACGTGCACTATTTGCTAGTCACCCTCACCACCTACGCTTCACCATCACCTGCTGACACCCCCTTGAAAATATGTAGGATTCACCATTTAGTGCTGTTAACTTACAGTACCATAGAACTCGAGTTTTTGCCAGCTTACTGCTATCATTTACCTGTAATCCAACAACATTCTTTGGTGTTGCATACAGAAATATTGACACTTCATACTACAAGAAAATATGTATTGTGAATAGCACTCCTTCTCCGAGGTAAATGAAGTTTAGCAATTTTCTGCTGAACAGATATTACAGATAGTCAGAATATGGTAAATAGTGTAGTATCTTGTTTTCATCTAGTGGTTTTTTTTTTCAATATTAATCCAGAAAAGTAATCGGTGTATATTTTAGTGGCAGTTTAGAATGAAATTCTTTTAATTATTTGATGAATGTCTGACACTCGTTTTGTTAGGGCTCGCACACATTTTGTATTTAACTATTCTACGAATGCCTACGGGATATGCAAGTTGGCTATCATGCAGGTTTCTTTGAATATTAGACTTTGGTAATTTCTCTGTGTGAGTTTATTATTAATACTGATAATATAATTGTACAATTAATTTTTAAGTTACTTAAAAATTTCTTACGAATGAAGCTTTGGCAATGCTGCTGCCAAAGAGGAAATTAAGTTGATTAAAGCAATAACTTTGGTGAAGAAATCAACCAACAATGCACAGTTTAAGTGAGAAATTGTGCTCGTGACAGTATACTGAGAGTGAGGTTAGTGGTGTGGACAGCTTACTGCAGTGTTTTGGGGACCTGTGGGTGGTGAAAAATAATTGAATTGTGATAGGAAAGTGGAAATTACAATTAGATCTCTTGTGATATCATATTGAGACTTGCAATAAGATCTTATGATATTGTGGGATTTGTCTTCTGACATGGGGCAAATGTCCATTGGGTAACTAATATTTTAGGGTATAGAAATATGTTTATAGTCTCAAAAAAAAAAAAAAATTATGAGTGCTCTCAGAAAAAAATATTTCGTCTTGCATCTGCTGTTACTTCTTTAAACTTAGTCTTGTTATTCTATGAAGGTAGAAAGTGTCAGCATAATGAGATATATTTTGTATATAGTATTGTACTGTATATATCATTTACACATATTGGTGGTCGTATGATAAGCCGTCATAAATCACCGGGTCATGTGTTTTAAGTGTAATAAACCCTGTCTCCATATGAGGCTGCAGGAAGTGTGAAAAGGGGGTAGCATGTTACTCTAAGGAGGCCTGGTTGAGGACCGGCCCGTGGGGACGTCAAGCCCCGAAATCATCACAAGGTAACCGTAAGGTAGATAATCAAACACAGTAATAGGAAGTGGAAAATTTGTTGCAACTATAACTGTCAAGTTTATTGATATTATTATGGGAACTTTGCAGAGTTGAAATAGCTTGGAATTTTATTGGAAATAGAGAGGTCATATTGATGTGGATAACGAAAATTTAAAATACAGAACTTGTCTTTGAACCATGGCTTTCTCCACGTACTTGGCTGTCAGCAGTTCCTTCTCATAGCTCTACGTCACTTTAAGCTTCTTGTTTTTTTTTTGCAAAGGCCAATGTTCACCTAATAAAATATAGATTCAACTTTTTTGGTCGTTCATCTTTTTCTGTTTAGCGTGAAGTTATTGTATACCTCTGTTACTTGGTACTCATTATTATTGTAGATGTTTATATGATGGCAGCTGTTGCTATGATTAATAAGTAAACGTATAATTGCCCTGTTTGGAGGGAGATTTCTCCGTTGGAATACTACTAAAAGCCTTTTGTATATTGTTTGTAGTTAGACTATGTTTATCAAGAACTGTAAATACATTGCACTCCTAATGCTTGCAAGACATTAATTTTTGTTCCAAAAACTATAATCTGATGTAGTTTTGAAGTGTTACGTAACTCTGGATAAAATATGAAATAAAATAAGAGACATGAATTAAGGTACTGTACATTAAAGTATTACATTAACAGAGGAATATTATATATCAAACTTTTTATGCTATTTATGGTCAAATAAATTACTTTATAAGAAAAATACACACACATTATATAGATAATTACACTTACACACACACATGATCATGACACAATGTGTTAGGTCCTTTTTTATTGTGTAATTACTGTAGTTAAGACGTGTAATCATAGATTTATAATCTCAAGGCGTGTTTTACCTACAGATGTTTAGAAATATTAGCAAGGATTATATTCATCTTTGGATTAAATTCTGTGATCTTAGATTTAGGAGTGGCCAATGATTTAATGTTGCACAATGAAATTACAAGAATGCAATGAATCTATGAATAATATATTGAGGCTGTATAATTGGATCACACATGCAACCCCTGAATGTCTTGGGCCGACTGTGTCCTGGAGGGATTGAGGGGAACAAGTTCAATTCCTTTGTATGGCCTTCATAGCCTCAAAGCAATTTAATGTTTCGTTCATGATTGTTTGGAAGGGAAAGATTCCAAACCATTGTTAATTTTTCACTAGTTTTCAGTTCAAATATTGTAACATGAGCAAGTGTTGCATCCAAATGTTAGTAACTGATCACAGAGTTGATGTTGAATATATGACAATGGCTTTATCATAGTTATATTTTTGTATATTTTTGCATAAACAGAATTATAGTTAGTGAACTTGACAAATGAAAATGAGCAAGAATAGACGTGGACTAATACACTGTATCTGTAATTCAGACACCTAGTATATACATACTTGAGCAGAATTTATGGCAGCATTATTTAATGTCATTTCACTACTGTATTAAAGTACTTGGTTGGCTAACCAAAATGTGTGAAGAAATGATAATACGGTTCAGTGCATGCAGATACCTCATTTGTTGCTCCTAACGTTTACTTCCCATCTTATGTTGAAAACATTCCTCCCCGCAGTTGACACTATTGAGATTAATGAGAACCAGCTTGATATTTTTTTGGGTGGGAAGAGGTGTAATTCTGGAAACTTTGCAAAACGGTGGCAGTTGTCTAACCATTTGTGTAGCATCTAAGGTAATGTAGTGTTTGGCATGTCCGCATACTCCGGCAACTTTACAGAATCTACTGTACCTATGCAAACCTACATAACCTCCAGGAATTACATGATTACCAAGTTAAAAAAAAACTGCAGTAGGTACTCTGCCTTTGTTCATTTTCAGCTAACAATATTGTCTTTGCACAGAGAAATCACATTAACGTGATATTTCCACAGGATTTGACTAGAGCACATCTGGGAACATTCGGCTCCATAGGTTCGAACCCTCGTCAAAGCTCCTGTGGATTTGTTAATACCTGTATTGTCTTGGATAATTACATACTTCTTGGCTCATTTAGTGGCAATTTTATCTTTTTTCAGACAATCACTTTTACTTAACTAAAGTACAGTATACAGTAGATCACAGAACAACAACTGTGTATTAGTTAGTGTCTACTGATTTTTTTTTTATGGAGGAAGGCTTTTCTTTTTTAACAGGAGGAAATCATTTTTCCTGTACCTTTTTATAAGCTATATCTTGTCATTTCTCTCCATATTTATATAATTTTCTAAATTTAATTTTGTTTTAATAAATTAAGATTGGCATCTCCCAAAAAACTAAAAGTCGCGTTTGTTGAATGAGCGTCTTCCTCATAATTGAGAAATAATATTTCATTTTGATAGTGGTGTACATTTACTAATCTTTAAATAATATTCCTTGTGGTTCTTTCTGAGGCACTGTATAGTTTGTGATACAAGTTTATTCTATAAATTCAAATTATGAAGCTCTAATAAAGTATAATAGTTTAAAGTTATAGAATAAATTCAATTTTGATTGCCATCATTATATTTACACTGAAACTAAGGAAGATATATATAAATAATGTACAGTAATCTGTTTTTTGTGTATAAATATTATTAAGATCAGAAAGTGTTTCATAGAATAACAAAAATTAAAATGACTTCTGAGCAAACATCTGAATTTGACTTTTATAAATTTGCTGCCCACAACCCTTGTGCAGTTGTGTAATGCATGTCTGAAGGCTAAATATGACTTGGGGAAGTATTGTTTATGCCAAGAACAAACGAACAATTAATTGCAAATAAATTGTTATTCCCTGACGACTTTTCTTGCATCATCTGAGTTTGATGCTCTGCAAGATATGCATTTTTATAATTATTATTTGTATTAATCTTTTTGTTGTTGTTGTATTTTCTTGATATACAATAATATTTAACCATTACAGGTATGTAGTTTGCAACGCAACATTTTTCCTTGCTCTTGGCCAGGCAATTTCTGTATGAAAACAATATGGCAATATTATTGTTAATAGCATGTTAATGTTTATGGTTAGACTGCTAAGGCTTCAGAAACTTGTATAGCACTTTGTTAATGTCACTCAATTGTATTTAAATATATTCGTCCAAGTCAGATATTTCAGCAGTTCGTCCAGTCTGTTAGGGTATCACGCAGATGTGTTAGTGTCTGATGGTTATATTGTATTGTGACTTCCAATGTTAAGATCAGAGCACCAAAGGATAATTGGACTTTTTAAATTTTCGTTTTTTTTTTTTAAACGAATAATGATGTTCTAAATTGGAAATTAGGAAGGCCATTGGTATGGAAGACAAATTGGAGTTCAATATCATGTGTGTAAATGAACAGCTCCTATACTCCAAGGAACTGTCTCGTGTGTGGCGTTAAGTGAAAGATTTTTAATCAAAGTGGGGAAAAAATGACACCGGAAGTTGGTCACTGTCTCTACTATGGTAATGTACAAATTTTTTGCCTTCACCTCTTTAGGCTAGGAAATTGTAATGCTGTGATGTTGAATTGCTCTCAAGACCACCATTATTTTGCCTAAAGTTTACTTGCATAGTTCATTCTTTAGCAGCAATTGTGTTTTATTATGTAGATAGTTATAGCCAGCAGAAAGTGGTTCTCAATATATTTTCATCTCATATTGCATGGACAAAATTTGACCATAATTTCACATATAAGAGAAAGTGTCAAAATACATCTCTGGTATTATATATAGTAGCATTGAGTTTAAATCCCAGCTGCCATAAGGTACATTAAATACTACTGTATGTGGTATTCAAACTATATTATTACTGAGCTGTATTTATTAAGTTTTTAACCAAGTTATGGCAGTATTGTAACTTTGTTGACAGTGAAGCAAACACCAATAATACAGCTGAGAGGTGATTCTGTACTCACATAGTTGTGCTTGTGGGGGTTGAGCTTTGGCTCTTTGGTCCCGCCTGTCAGTCTGTGTTGATTGGAAAGCGTATGTAAGGGATGCTTTGTATTTTGATTTTATGGGAAGGCCTCTTCACTGACTAGTGTACTAAAACACTGGTACCATTACACTTATGGTTGTGTCAGGCTGCCGAGACCCACACTAACCTGTCAGGACCAGGCTCTTTATTTCTTAAATCTAAGACTACCTGGGCTTCTTCGAGAAATTGGCTCATTTTGTTGTGCTTTGTTTTGTTTTTTCCAGTTTTAGGTTGATCTTCGATCCCCAAGCTCCTTCCCTCACACTTGTAGAGCACGCCAGATACTAACTCTTGATAGGCAAGGGTGGGTCTCTGATGCCTCATGCATCACCCTAAGGCTTGGTTTTACCAGTACGTACTGTACTGTACTTGGCTCTGAAGCTCGCGAGGGCCTCACTCAAAAAGTGCATTTGATTACACTAGGGTTGATTTTTATTTATATGTATTAATGTAATTTGACCCACTTGATTATGAATATAATTGTTAACATATTTAAAAAGCAATATGGTTAATATTATGTAAATCTTTTAAAAGACTTTGCCTTTCTCAAATATTTATACATTTCCCCATTGCTGCTTCCTTGCATTATTTTTTTTCATTTAGCTGTTCTTCATTGCTCATTTCTTAATCATTCATTTTACCCTTGCAACAAAAAAAGGATAGAAAACCAGGGCTATGAAGTAAGGCATTGAAATGTAGGACCAAATTAAGTATTATTTCTTTAATATGATATGGTTTGTACCTTAGACTGGATAAAAGAAAATTTATGTAAAGCAGGTGGTAGCAGTACATACAAAAAGTCCTGTTGAGAATAGAAGATATGAAGCAAATCATAATACTGTACCTGCCTAGACATTTTTTATTTAATTTATTCTTTTTTTCTGGGGGGGGGGTTAATCGCTATTCTATATCTATTTTTTTTCTCGTAGTTTATATCTACTTTTGCATGACGTGATTACCCTCTCTTGACTAGCTACCTGTCTACTTCCTTTGCTTTTTGCAGTACCTTATTGCTTGTAATCCCTTTAACCTGCTTTTCAGTTGCCTTCTATTTTCCATGCACCTCCCATTTCATGTAGGTTGAGCTTTACATGGCTGCTTCCTTTTTCTTTAGTTTGTCTAATCCTCTTTATTACAAAATACTGTCTACATTATATTTATCAGTGTGTATCATTTGGTACCATGCAATGAGGGTATGACAAAGTGGATGTGTGTGTGTGTGTAGCGTAGACTTGCTATACGTGCTTTTGTTTGTGTATCTGAGAGTACTGTAGCCAGCCAGTATGAAATCGCGGTACACATTGGTAGCAAGAGCTCTTTTTATTCTCTCTTTCTCTCTCTCTTTCTCTCTCATATGTATAAGAGCATTCTGGAAGGCATTTCTACAGAAAAGCAAAGTTTTCAGCAAAATTATGATTATTATATATATTACTGTATCAAGATTATGTAAAAAAAGAAAGAGGCGGTTCCCCAATTCCTATAGTCTTTGTATATTTTGTACAGAAGTGTCGTGCTTAGTCTGGCATGTCTTTGTAAAAAAAAAAAAAAGTTTTTTATAAAATTGTACTAAGTGAAAATCAGTTTTATTGAATCTCTACCAAATTGTGTTGGAAGCTATTGATACTGAAATCGGTAGGGAAATTAACACGGAAGAAGACTCACTATTACTTCAAGTTGATCTAAATAGGGTTTTGAAATGGTCAAAAGATTGGCAGATGCAGTTTAATGCTGATAAATGTAAAGTTCTGAGGCTAAGTAATGATGATAGAATTACAAGATACGATCTAGATGGTGTTGAGATTGCGAAGTCGGATTCCGAACGGGATCTGGGAGTTATGATTTATGAAGCTTAAGTTGCATTCACTGGAAAGGCGAAGAGTTAGGGGTGACATGATAGAGGTTTAAAAGTGGGTGAATGGACATAACAAAGGGGATATTAATAGGGTATTAAAAGTATCAACACAAGACCGAACACGAAACAATGGGTATAAATTGGATAAGTTTAGATTTAGGAAAGACTTGGGTAAATACTGGTTCAGTAACAGGGTTGTTGATTTGTGGAACTAATTACCGCGTAACGTGGTGGAGGTGAAGTCCCTCCATTGTTTCAAGCGCGGGTTGGACAAGTATATGAGTGGAATTGGGCGGTTATAAATAGGAGCTGCCTCGTATGGGCCAATAGGCCTTGTGCAGTTGCCTTTGTTCTTATGTTCTTATGATTAGTAAGAATTTAAAACAAAAGGATCAATGCATGAATGTTCGTAATAAGGCGAATAGGACACTGGGATTTATTAATCGAAGCGTTAGTAATAAGACACCTGGTGTGGTTCTTCAGCTATATCTTGCTCTGGTTAGGCCCCATTTAGATTATGCAGTTCAGTTTTGGTCGCCGTACTATAGAATGGATATAAATTCACCTGAATGTGCCCAACGTAGGATGACTAAGTTAATTCCCCAAATTAGAAATCTTTTATATGAAGAAAGATTAACAAAGCTTAAATTGCATTCAACGGAAAGGCGAAGAGTTAGGGGTGACATGATAAGAGGTTTACAAGTGGATGAATGGACACAACAAAGGGGATATTAATAGGGTATTAAAAGTATCAACACAAGACAGAACACGAAACAATGGGTATAAATTGGATAAGTTTAGATTTAGGAAAGACTTGGGTAAAAACTGGTTCGGTAACAGGGTAGTTGATTTGTGAAACCAATTACCGCGTAACGTGGTGGAGGTGGGGTCCCTCGATTGTTTCAAGTGCGGATTGGACATGTATATGAGTGGGATTGGGTGGTTATAAATAGGAGCTGCCTCGTATGGGCCAATAGGCCTTCTGCAGTTACCTTTGTTCTTATGTTCTTAAGGCCTATTGGCTCATACGAGGCAGCTCCTATCTATAACCACCCAATCCCACTCATATACATGTCCAACCCATGCTTGAAACAATCGAGCGACACCACCTCCACAATGTTACGCGGCAATTGGTTCCACAAATCAACAACCCTGTTACCAAACCAGTATTTACCCAAGTCTTTCCTAAATCTAAACTTAACCAACTTATACCCATTGTTACGTGTTCTGTCTTGTGTTGATACTTTTAATACCCTACTAATATCCCCTTTTTTATGTCCATTCATTCACTTGTAAACCTCTATCATGTCACCCCTAACTCTTCGCCTTTCCAGTGAATGCAATTTAAGTTGAAGAAAAACACCAGGTGTCTTATTAGTAACGTTTCGATTAATAAATCCTAGTGTCCTATTTGCCTTATTACGAACATTTTTTGGTTTTAAATTCTTACTAATCATAACTCCCAGATCTCTTTCGCAATCCGACTTCGCAATCTCAACACCATCTAGCTCGTATCTTGTAACTCTTATCATCATTACCTAGCTTCAAAACATACATTTGTCAGCATTAAACTTCATCTGCCAATCTTTTGACCATTTCAAAGCCCAATTTAGATTGTCTTGAAGTGATAGTCTTTTTTCCCTCCCGATTTTTGTATCATGTGGCACTTTATCAAAATCTTTGCTTAAGCCAAGGTGCACAATATCACAAACCTTACAACTATCAACTATGCTGGAATAAAATGATAGCAATTTGACCAGACCACACACTAGAAGGTGAAGGGACGACGACGTTTCGGTCCGTCCTGGACCATTCTCAAGTCGATCGATGTGAGGGTGGTCCAGGACGGATCGAAATGTCGTCGTCCCTTCACCCTAAGAATAAAAGCAACTGCAGAAGGCCCATTGGCCCATACGAGGCAGCTCCTATTTATAACCACCCAATCCCACTCATATACATGTCCCACCCGCGCTTGAAACAATCGAGGGACCTCCCCTCTAGTGTGTGGTCTGGTCAACATACTTTAGCCACGTTATTGTGACTCATCGCCTGCAAAATGATAGCAAATTTGTTAAACATGAACGGCCATTAGTAAAACCAGATTGTAAGTCATTTATTAATCTATGTTTTTCAAGATAAAAACGAATGGTATTTGCAATTTTCAAGATTCAAGCAACTTTCCAACAATAGACGTTAAGCAATTTGCCGATAGTTTGATCCTACATCTTCAAGATGTAGGATCCCTCGATTATTTCATGTGTAGGTTAGATATATATGAATGAGATTGGGTAGATATAATCAGGAGCTGCCTTGTATGGGCCAATAGGCCTTTTGCAGTTACCTTCATTCATATGTTCCTATAGTGTTCATATGCACCTAACCCCCTTCCTGCACCTTGCCTCCTCACGGCTATAATAACGCTAAACTCGTCTGTTGTCGGCTCACCATAACCCGTGCTACAGGGTCATTTCGTTCTGAGCAGCTAAATCTAAAACTACATCTGTTGTCGGGAAGTCTCTCTGGAGGTCCTTAGCTATTGTGGACGGATCTGGCTACAACGTCTCTTCTCAGATCGCAAGCACTGTGTATCGCCGTGGGTGCATGTCTGAGTGTCGCTGAGTTCTTTCACAATGGCACCAACTTCTCGGTCAGCCAGCCATCGTCCGGGTAGAGGTTTTCTTGAGAACCTGCGGCAGCTTTTCAGTGTTACTAGGCATGACAAACAACGCGCCACAACCTGCTGCGCACCATTACCTCGACCGGACATTGTTGTAACACAACAACCCTCCAGACCTCAACAACTCTCCAGACAGCAACAACTCTTCAGACCTCACCCAGGGACTGTTCCTCGACCCTCCTGTCGCCCACCACCACCACCTCCTCTTCCTCCATCCTCCAAACAGGCCACAACACCTTCCCGACGTTTCAGGAGCCCCCCACCGCCACCTCCCCGAAGCTCTAGCATCCCCTCACCTCCCAGAAGCTCCAGCAACCCTCCTCCACTTCCCTTACCCTCCAGTGACCCTCAACTATCCGGCCCACCATCCCAACCTTCTGGTAACCGAATCTCGCCCCCTACCAAATACCCCGGAAAATGGATCTCACCACCTTCCCGGCCGACGAGTAAGCCACCGCTTCCACCCGTCGGACGTCAACCATCACCACCTGCAACTGTACCGTCCGGCTACACACCACCTGGAAGACTTAGGCAGGCACCTCTTCCTCCCGTACTTTCGGCGCCCATAGCCTCTGTCTGCCAGCAACCTCCTCTTCGTGATCATTGAGTGCCTGCAGATGATGAGTCACAGTAACGTGGCTGAAATATGTTGACCAGACCACACACTAGAAAATGAAGGGAAAACGACGTTTCAGTCCGTCCTGGACCATTCTCAAGTCATAGTCGATCATAGTCAGAATGGTCCAGGGCGGCCGAAACGTCGTCGTCCCTTCATTTTCTAGTGTGTGGTCTGGTCAACATTGATTGCCTTCTAGCCATATCGAGGACTACCCGCCAACAAATTCACAAACCATGATCAACCAACTACCATTGTCAAATCCACACCCTCTCAACTTTCGTACACTTGCCAATGAACAAATAAAGTAAGTTGCTGTGTTATAAAAAATCAATTCTTGTATAAAGTCACGAAAAATCCAATTTTGTGTTGTTTTTCAACAAGGTTGAAAAATTTATTAAGTTCTTATTGATCAAAGCTGATTCATTCTAACTTGGAAAAGTTATTTTGAATTTTGCTCTGTGACTGTAGATAAAAGTATATTTTTGGTATCTCATTTACTTCGAATATTTTGGGTATTTCAATTAAGCAGTTCCATGTATGCATAATAATAAAATAAAATTTGTATTAGTACTAAAATATTCATATACATATATTCATGGAAATTATTCTTCCACGGGGATGAGAGCCTGAACATCTGGAGGAGAAGGCTCTGTTATATGGGACGAGAGAGTTTGTGGATTTTAACTTTTATATTTACAAATAAAGAAATTGTATCTTTAGTAAACTACCTTAAGAATGTTTCCGATACCAAATTATATCTTTAATAAACTATCTATTAAAATATTTGCAATTTTATTTTTATTTCCAATTTATTATATACTATTTATATATATTTATATATTGACAACCTAATTACAGGCAAAGTATGATATTTAGCTTTGCCGATATCTGGTGAGACATTGTAATTGCCAGAATTAAATTGAGATAACGATATCTATGTCAGCTAATGAATCCCCCAATGAACCAATTGTAAACCTGGTCAACGACATGCTCTCCAACACCTGTGATTACCCTGTTATCAGGGTAATGTTATCAATGATTTCAGGCTGAATGATATTAGTTTGAGCTTTGTAACTACTTCATACACTCACAAATAATAGAAGACATTCCTGTGCTCTACCAAGACTTTCTTACTGCAGGGTAATCGATTAGACTCGCTTCACAGTCTCTTCTCACTCCATAAATGACTAATCGTTCCGTGAGATTATTAGATAATACTATATATTAGATGAACTCATATCAGCAGCCTGCTGTGTATACCAAAGCCTGTTAATAACAAAGATAAATACATCTCACTCCTGCTAAAAGGCTGAGAGCTTTCCCATTGAAAACATTACCTTATTAGTTTTCCCTAGAACACGACCCGCCAGTCGTGTTATAATACCATATATTACAGTTATAAGGACTGACTCCCAGTCAATCCTCCCTGGGCCAGGACTTGGAACCAGTGACGCAACGCTCTAGTGGGTCGCCTGCAGCCTGGCCGCTCACTCCTCACCCAGACGTGAGGGGGAGTGTGTGTGTACTATTGTGTGTCAGGACAGCCACTACCACCCCCTCCTGAAGGGGACGATGACCCCTCCGTCGCCACGTGCTTCCCTTTCACTAGAAACTATCCCAAAATAAATGTCATCAAATACGTGGTATTAACCAAAACAAAACATTAGAAGATAATGTAATTTATGTGTATAATGTGATGTGTTTAGCGAGCGTGAGGGTACTGGAGGGGTGGACGGCCGGCTCAACCCGTCTCCTGTATACATGAGAGGTGAGTACTAAAGCCTCTCACATGCACACTGTGGGGTTCCTTCAGGTGTTGAACATACACTGGTGTTAGACGTAACGTGAAAGTTTGCCATTCCTATTCCTTGAGAAATTACTATACTTGAGTAATTTATTATAATAATTTATTATATTTAAAGTAAAGTAATTTATTACTCAAGTATTTATTTTATTTAGTAAATGAATTCATTGATTAATTCTTAGTAAAGTAATAATAATTACTTTTATAAGTAATTTAATAATAATTAAATTTTAACATAACATACTACTGTGTTGGCAAATTGTCTATCACAATTGTTTCTCCTTAAAGCCAATTTCTTCATATTTTATAAATCAAATTATATTTTTCCATTTCCAAAGTTTCTATTTACATTTTTTCTGGACTTCGATCTTCGTAAACCCGAGGGTGCGTGTGTTATGAATTGTTTACTTATGGTAATGTTACACCGAGGGAACCTGTACCCGCCAGGCAGCAGCACGGTGGTACAGCACACTATATGGCAGGTCGTCTGTTTGTTTACATTGGTGAATACTAGAATGTACCTATGGCACCTATGATACCAATTTGATACTATATGTATATTCATATATATAAATATATGTTTATATATATTTATATACGTTGTGCAAATTATATAATAAGTGTAATACACTCTATAGTAAATCACTTCTTTTCTTCATCTTAAAAGTACGAAAATGAGTTTTGGAGAACTCCTATTTCAATTAAGCCCTGATGCTAAGAAAATAGTTAGAGGGATAGAAGCCCTAAACCAGAAAATAATAAATACAGAATATGCGGTCATATTCAATAAAACATGTTTGAAAGAAAACCTGCTGCCAGTATACACCAATATATATTTATGTATATATAATATATCCTATACAGTAACCATTGATTGTGGCCACCATATTCTAGTCATTTAAAACGCCATACAAGACACTTTCGAGATCTGGCGAGGAGAAACGCTTATTTGCCAATTATAACAATATATTTTAATGAGTTCATCCAAACAAAGGCAATTTAGTGACTTTTCTTTTTAAATGTATTCATAATTGTAGTCCATTTTACTTAGTATGTCACTGCCTATTATGGTTGGCATGATGTTGATGGGCAAGGTTGGGGGGGGGGGGTGGTACAGGGTATAGGTAGGAAGGGTGGGGAAGGGTGAGTTGTGAGCTATGACGAGGCAGGGTGGGGCTGGGCCGGACCGCTAACAGTGAGTAACTTCTACAGGTTAAGGAGGATGCTCCCTTGTGAGCCCGGCTGCCACCACCACCCACTACACCCTCTTCTGCACCACCACCATACTGGTAAGGGAAGAACAGGGGCAAAATTTATAATTCTAGGGGACAGTAACCACAGGGAAATAAATATCCTGGATAGAGCAGGGAGTGATGAGACATGGAGAGCAAAAGTAGTAGACGCCACAGACAAACACTTCTTAAGGCACTGGGAACAGGTGGAACACGTTACCAGGAGGTATTTCTAGATATCTAATAATCACCTATGTGATTGTATTCCTACTAATCATGGTATCACAAACCTTTTTCGCGCCCAAACTTTGCAATTTCAGCATTCTCCGGCTGATATAAAGTAATTGTTATCATTACCGATCATTTCAAAAGTCCACTGAGATAAGTCCACCTTACCTCCATTTATACAAATTCTTTGTTTGCAGTAAAGACATTTAGTTAGGAAAAGATATACATTCTTAGCATATTAAAATAATAATAATAAACTGCTATGCTTTGGAACGCTTTGCAAATATTGGTAAACTATAACCCACGCTACCCGCTACTGCAAACCACCCAGTCTCCAATTTCCCCACCCATGGCTTCCCTGCATGACCACGATTACAACCCACTCGTCCTGCAACCCCAACCCACCTTGCAAGGCCTCCAACCCACCTTGCAAGGCCTCCAACCCACCTTGCAAGGCCTCCAACCCACCTTGCAAAGTCCCAACAACTACCCACCCTGCAAGACTTTACACTCAAATCCGTCTCACTCGTCCTGTGGCCCCCGCTCATGTGGGGTTCCCCCGCCCCGCCCCAGTGAACCATCAAGTGGGGTTCCCTTTCTAACATCCCACGAATAGAGGATGGGGTGTTCGTCCCTGTTAGGACAATCGGGTAGATTTACACCGCAGGTTATGGGACGGAAGGAGACAGAGAGGTGTAGGAGCGTGATAGAAGAGAAAGGGAGGGAGGTGTAGGAGCGTGGCGGAAGGGGAGAGGGTGAGGGCGCTAAAGGAGAAGGATGACACACTACAAGAACGCGCCAGAAAAAGCGGACGACAAAGACATCTCAGAGAGGGTTAATCTCCGAGAGCCACCTGGCGGGGTTCCCAGTAAGCACACAACCTATCCACTGTAACTAAAAGTTTATCTTTTGGCGAGTTTAAGCGCGCGCGTGTCAGGGGTGAACCAGAACACTGATTCGATACCGCCGTCCCGCTCAAAAGATTTTCTCGGAACTTTAAAGTTTTTACCTCTATACGATGGTAATCTCGTAGCAACTTTCATAAAGTTGTAACGACGTAAAAAAGCAACATTGTGGTGACGTTGTGTTAGCTGGGAGCTGTTGAGTCAAAACAGCATGATATATTTAAGATCAAAATCTTTGGAGCAGAACGACGGGATCGAACCGTCGTCCAGGGTCACCCCCAGTGTTTAAGCACTACTACACATTGAACCCCAATGTGCTTAAATGGTACGGAGTATATTGTGGACAAGTGTGTAATCGGCTCGTGTGGGGTGACTCCGAACGCGGGTTAGAGTCCACCTTTGCACTCCAAAGGCCTTCTTCTCATACGAGCTAATACTCGGCTCCGGTAACTTGCTCGTTTCTTAACGCTTTCGTGAATATAATTACTCAGTGATAGTGAATTACTAATACTGATTACTGATAGTGAATGTGAATGATTCTCTTGATTTCTACCATTCGAAAGTCACTGTATTAATCAGATCAACACACTTTATTCATCATATCAACCCCAACGCAAACAGTACCATTACTGACTATCGAAGATGTTAGTAAGTCAATACTTAAATTACACTAACACACAGGTTGATCCATTTAATCAGGGTAACAACAAACTGGATTTTCTCAAATCTAAATTAATTATATATGAAGTATATATTTATGTCTAGAAAAAGCTAGATACGGTTTCTATATTTAAAATCATTTGCTATATTGGTAATAACTTTAATACATAGTGACTGGATTGAACAGGTGTATAGCTGTGCAAATAAATCATTTTGAACAGTAAACTAAATAACATTTAGCTTTTAATTTGAGTGATTTATATGGTATACCATATAAATATAGTATGGTATACCATATAAATATAAATCCATTTATACCCTGTGTGGCGCGTTTGGCATCACTGGCAGTAATGCAACTGTTGCAGAAGTAGGCCTAGTAATAGCTAGATAGTAACAGTAGTTAACAGTAACAATAATTACACTAACAATACATTGTGTATTGATTAATTAAAAGTTAATTATTGTTCCTTAATTAACAATAATAAACAGTAACAGTAATTCAAATAACCGTAGCATTAACAATAGCAGTATACATAGACCCAGTAGGCTTATGCTCCTGTACGTCTATCTTTGGTGGGTCCTTGAAGCATCTGAGTGAGACGTTTTTGTAGAGGGGGAGAAACATTCTTCCTGCTTCTTCCTATAGTATTGGGTACGAAACTAGGTTGATTTACACATTACTAATTTGTATTTAAGGGCGGGAATACCCTGAGGCTGGCTCACCCTTGACACTGTCCATCCACAGCATCGGTCTAGATTTTTACAGGTTTGGCGTTCGATTCCCCGATGGTCTTTCATTCCTTCACTCCGTACTCATATCCCAGCCCCTTGTCCACGAATCCCAGCCCCTTGTCCACGAATCCCAGCCCCTTGTCCACGAATCCCAGCCCCTTGTCCACGAATCCCAGCCCCTTGTCCACGAATCCCAGCCCCTTGTCCACGAATCCCAGCCCCTTATCCTCGTATCCCACCTATTTGTCCTCGAATCCCAGCCCCTTGTCCTCGAATCCCAGCCGCTTGTCCTCGAATCCCAGCCCCTTGTCCTCGTATCCCAGCTCCTTATCCTCGTATCCCAGCTCCTTGTCCTCGTAACCCTGCCAAGTGCCAAATAGTCATTCTAGCTTCGCGCTTGCCACCAACATTTACATACCAAACATCGCACCGGGTGCTGACGTAATATTGGAATTTTTGCACGCTCGGGAGAATGCTGGACTTGAAATCTTCATTAAATCATAAATATCGAAGTGAATTGATGTTGGATCGACGCTAAAATTCTGGAGAATGGCAGCTGCGATATCATGCATATTTCTGGAATGCCTTTCAACGTGAAAATGTTGAATAATTCAATTTTCAATGTTAATTGAGCTTTTTTTTATGTTTATCAATATGAAATTTAAAAAAAAATTATGAATCGAATGGAAATTACAAAAAAAATGTCTCGAGCAAGCTCGGAGTGAGGATAAGGTTTGAGGGTTTAGTTACCGTTTGAAATTGAAACCACTTGACTGATGGGTGGTGTGGTAGGGTGTGGTGTGGCAGGGTGTGGTGTGGCAGGGTGTGGTGTGGCAGGGTGTGGTGTGGCAGGGTGTGGTGTGGCAGGGTGTGGTGTGGCAGGGTGTGGTGTGGTAGGGTGTGGTGTGGTAGGGTGTGGTGTGGCAGGGGTGTGGTGTGGCAGGGGTGTGGTGTGGCAGGGGTGTGGTGTGGCAGGGGTGTGGTGTGGCAGGGGTGTGGTGTGGCAGGGTGTGGTGTGGCAGGGTGTGGTGTGGCAGGGGTGTGGTGTGGTAGGGTGTGGTGTGGCAGGGTGTGGTGTGGTGTGGTAGGGTGTGGTCTGGCTCCTATGAAGATATACACTGGAGGGGAAAGAAAAAAGTCATCGTTTCGTTCAACACAGAGAAAGCTTCACCACGGAGGAACAAGAATAATTAAGAGTTAAATGAATGAATATTTATGGAATATTCCTTAAAATTAAAAAAATGAAATGTCCACCCAAACCAGCCCCGTCCTCTCTAATTTCCACTACGTAACAAACACGGCTGTTTTGCCTAGCCAGAAACGTAACAAAAGCAACTGTTTTACATAGCCAGAAGCGTGCGAACTCGATCAACCGAGCTTAATTGTATACGAATACGTCTCATTTTTACCGGAATAAAATTGAATAGAGTTTAAGCTAATGTGGGTTTTGATATTAAATAAGAGATTGCTCTTTATTGATGGTTGGAGACCATGGGGGGGGGGGGGGGGAATCGCGTGAGGGAGAGCAGGTGGTGAAGCAGGAAGGAGGGGGGGGGGTGGTGTTTGGTGTGGGGGAGCAGCGAGGGGGGGGGGGTGTAGGGGAGTAGAGAAGGGTGGGGGGTGTGGGGGGGATGACTCCGCATGTCTGTGGTATCGATCCAGTGTAGTGTGCTCTGCTCGTAGTAGCATAGGGCCGGTCTTGTACCAAATTCACCCCCCTCCCCCCTTCTTTCCCCCACCACCACAACTATAGTTTCCCCGCCATAGTCTCCCCACCACGTTGGGGGTACTATGTTGCAAGACCTGCAAATATCTGTTATTCAAGATCTGCAATATCTGTCATACTATATAGTGGTACTATATAGTGGTACTATATAGTGGTACTATATATTGGTACTATATAGTGGTACTATATATTAGAGGTACTGTGGGTTAAGGAGTGAGCTGTAATGAGGCAAGGGGGAGTGTGCTAACACACTTGGAGTGAGTGTGCTAACACACTTGGAGTGAGTGTGCTAACACACTTGGAGTGAGTGTGCTAACACACTTGGAGTGAGTGTGCTAACACACTTGGAGTGAGTGTGCTAACACACTTGGAGTGAGTGTGCTAACACACTTGGAGTGAGTGTGCTAACACACTTGGAGTGAGTGTGCTAACACACTTGGAGTGAGTGTGCTAACACACTTGGAGTGAGTGTGCTAACACACTTGGAGTGAGTGTGCTAACACACTTGGAGTGAGTGTGCTAACAAAAGAGCTGGGTAAATACTAGTTTTTAAAATAGGGTTGCAGATTTATGGAACCAATTAACCGGGTAATGCAATTGGCGTGGAATCACTTGTTGCTTCAAGCGTGTGTATATATATTTTATATATATATGTGTATATATATATATATATATATATATATATATATATATATATATATATATATATATATATATATATATATATATATATATATATATATATATATATATAATATATATTATATGTATATATATAATATGTATATAATGAGATTGAATTTGAGCATCAGCCCATAGGCCTACTGTAGTGGCATTAATTCCAGTTTGTCGTGAATACAAAAGGTTACCAATTCATTCGGCATTATTTAGACCATTGCAAGGTTCACCATGCAAAATCCTGCAGCATTTTACTGCGGGATGCTACGATAGTGCATTTCACTGTACACCCTCGTGACCTCACTGCACACACCACCATGACCTCACTGCACACACCATCATCGTCCAATAACCTTAGCATGAGGCGACGTATTTAAACGCTATCATTACACAGCTGCATAACAATAATGAAATGACTACAATGACAAACAGAGGCAATTGGCCAAATTGCAGTCTTGTTCCTGTCATGAGTGGGAATTAAAGTTGCAGAACAGTTGCAACATAATCCTGGGGGGGGGGGGGTAAATGACCGGGGCAACTTGTAAACATTAGAATAGAAGCAACTGCTGAGATTGATTGATAGAGATTAAGCCACTCAGGAGGTGGCACGGGCATGAATAGCCCGTAAAATATTGGAGCATGGGAAGCAGCTTCTATTTATACTCACAAACCCATTCATATTCATGTCTAGCCGTCGTAATCCAGCGATCTCACGGCTGTTACGTTACCTGCTAATTTGTTTTGATAAATTAACGACCCTGTTCCCAAACCATTATGCATGAAGGCTTTTTATTTTGTTGGGTCTGAATGTCATATTAAATATGAATTCATTGTCTAGTATTATATTTCTGTGTTGATGTTGACCAGACCACACACTTGAAGGTGAAGGGACGACGACGTTTCGGTCCGTCCTGGACCATTCTCAAGTCGATTGTGAGGATTGTCACAATCGACTTGAGAATGGTCCAGGACGGACCGAAACGTCGTCGTCCCTTCACCTTCTAGTGTGTGGTCTGGTCAACATACTTCAGCCACGTTATTGTGACTCCTCGTCTGTTTCTATGTTGATATATTGAGCCCCCTTTTTTTTACTATCCTTTTTGTTATGTCATGACTGCAGTGTACCTATTGGTACACTTCAGTCTAGTACAAGAAAAGTTCACCTTAACTCTTTACATTTCTAGGGAATGGATTAAGTTTACTTAATCTTTCTCCATAAGGGACGTTTCTGGTCACTGGGCTTAATCTCGCAATCTCTCTTTCAATGGAGCATAACAAATTCCAAGAGACAGCAAGAGAACGTTAGATATCTATATCTTGTTGATAACGCCTTAGGATTGACTGCCAGCGTCTTATATTTGTCTTATTTCGAATATTACTGCATTTAATTTTTTAGGCAAGTATACTTCCAATAGATCTTTTACGAGATCAGATCTGGAAACTTTTTACCGTTATTCATCTGATATCCGGACGCTATCATCACACGCCCCCCCCCCACCACTGTCACACGCCTCCCCCCCCCCACCACTGTCACACGCCTCCCCCCCCACCACTGTCACACGCCTCCCCCCCCCCACCACTGTCACACGCCTCCCCCCCCACCACTGTCACACGCCTCCCCCCCCCACCACTGTCACACGCCTCCCCCCCCCCACCACTGTCACACGCCTCCCCCCCCACCACTGTCACACGCCTCCCCCCCCCCCCACCACTGTCACACGCCTCCCCCCACCACTGTCACACGCCCGCCCCCCCCCCCCCCACTGTCACACGCGCCCCCCCCCCCCCCCACCACCAATAACACCACCCACTAGCAATAACTCAATGTTTTCAGCTGTTGCAAGTAATATAATTTTGTTAAATCAAGTATAGCATGTTGTTAACGGGATATTTTTCACCCGAACCTTCCTAAAAATGTATCAGTCACCTCACATGTTTTCCGTCATGAAACGTATCTGTCATCTACCCACTCGTCCAGGCCCCCTGCGCCCCATGTTTCAACTATCAAGGTATATTCCAGTTTTTATGAGTGGAGCCAGTCTTTATGGCGGTGTTGAAAATATTGCCTAAAAGGTGTATTTTTTTCCATCTATATTTTTTTCATGGACTTGTTTGTAACTTTAAACCTTTAAATAACTTTAAACCTTTAAGTAACTTTAACCCCCCCCCCTTGTTTATAACTTTATATCTACAGCTACATGGTTTGTAGATAGATATAATTATAGTATCCCAAACCATCTAGATGGTTGGGGACGGAGCACTGACCTGACCAGAAAAATCCACAAAATTCCACGGCGAATTGAAGGCGCTGACAACATTCCTTTTCTGCGATTATACAACTTTAGTGCATTTTTTGCTCCCACTCCACCTGGCCATTGTATTTTTTCCAGTGTTCCCCCAGGCTCCACCTCCTCCAGTGTTCCCCCAGGCTCCACCTCCTCCAGTGTTCCCCCAGGCTCCACCTCCTCCAGTGTTCCCCCAGGCTCCACCTCCTCCAGTGTTCCCCCAGGCTCCACCTCCTCCAGTGTTCCCCCAGGCTCCACCTCCTCCAGTGTTCCCCCAGGCTCCACCTCCTCCAGTGTTCCCCCAGGCTCCACCTCCTCCAGTGTTCCCCCAGGCTCCACCTCCTCCAGTGTTCCCCCAGGCTCCACCTCCTCCAGTGTTCCCCCAGGCTCCACCTCCTCCAGTGTTCCCCCAGGCTCCACCTCCTCCAGTGTTCCCCCAGGCTCCACCTCCTACAGTTTTCCCCCAGGAGACAGTGTGTATTTGAACCGTTAAAATCTCCTCGTCTGCCACACTACCTCTAATTAGTCTTAATTACTGCTGATTTAGTGGGGTGTTGCTGCTTCAGCACCCCTCCCCCGCCCCCCAACACCCCCTCCCTCACCTCCCCCACAAGTCACCCCCCCCCCTTCCTGTCATTCTCTCACCCTGGCTGCTCCAACCACTTGCCTACACTCCTTAATTTTCTGTTGTATGGAAATAGTCACACTTCCCTCCTCACCCTGGCTCACCCTGGCTCACCCTGGCTCACCCTGGCTCACCCTGGCTCATCACTGATCACACTACCCCAAAGCATCACCCTATTTGTAATAGGATTTGCTGTTGGATACTTGACCTGCATGGGTCAGAGTTGGCATCAATGAAAAGAGTGCCACGTGTCATGGTCCAATAGCTTTCCCCATGATGAATCTCCTTATTGCATTCTGGCTCAATTCTATTTTTTTTTCAAACCAAATTGCAAAACATTATGTTCTGATCACGACAAAATGGAAAAGAAGTCTAATTTTGTACTTCGTCGTTGACGAGCCAGACCTTATTTTCCCTTATCACCAAGCCACGACTCGGTTAACTTGGTACCTCCATACACCCGTTCCTCCCGCTCACTGCACTCACTCGTCCCTGGCTAGTAACAGTCAGACAAATCAAGTGGGTGACTTACCATGGCCAGCAGGAAGGAGGGAGGTCAGAGGGCTGTTGTACCATAGATCAATAGGAGGTAATGTTACATAAACGCACCTCTGACATTATTCTTTGCATGGATGTGTTGTATAGATATGGTTAGGCTTCTGGCAGGTGTGGCGTCTGCCTGCCTGTCTGTTGTGTGTGTTGGCTGCCAGGTGTGGCGTCTGCCTGCCTGTCTGTTGTGTGTGTGTGTTGGCTGCCAGGTGTGGCGTCTGTCTGCCTGCCTGTCTGTCTGTTGTGTGTGTGTTGGCTGCCAGGTGTGGCGTCTGCCTGCCTGTCTGTTGTGTGTGTGTTGGCTGCCAGGTGTGGCGTCTGTCTGCCTGCCTGTCTGTCTGTTGTGTGTGTGTTGGCTGCCAGGTGTGGCGTCTGCCTGCCTGTCTGTTGTGTGTGTGTTGGCTGCCAGGTGTGGCGTCTGCCTGCCTGTCTGTTGTGTGTGTGTTGGCTGCCAGGTGTGGCGTCTGCCTGCCTGTCTGTTGTGTGTGTGTTGGCTGCCAGGTGTGGCGTCTGCCTGCCTGTCTGTTGTGTGTGTTGGCTGCCAGGTGTGGCGTCTGCCTGCCTGTCTGTTGTGTGTGTGTGTTGGCTGCCAGGTGTGGCGTCTGCCTGCCTGTCTGTTGTGTGTGTGTTGGCTGCCAGGTGTGGCGTCTGCCTGCCTGCCTGCCTGTCTGTTGTGTGTGTTGGCTGCCAGGTGTGGCGTCTGCCTGCCTGTCTGTTGTGTGTGTGTTGGCTGCCAGGTGTGGCGTCTGCCTGTCGTGTGTGTGTGTGCTGGCTGTCAGGTGTGGCGTCTGGCTGTGTGTAGCTGCCGTGTGATGCACCTCCTTTTCTTCCAGCTTAACAGTCTACCAGGTGATTAACCTGGTAGATGGCGTCCCGTGGTAGTCATATATATGTATTATATATCTTATATCCTTGATACCCGAATTAACGAGGATTCTCAGTCAACTCGAGGCACTTGCGTCAATCCCAGGTCCCACCGTCAAGCCATAATACCTCCATCAACTTGAGGTACACGAATTAAACTTTTTATTTATTAATATATGCAAGAGTTGTTATATTCTTGTACAGCCACTAGCACGCATAACGTTTCGGGCAGGTCCTTAATCCTATGTTCCCCGGGATACGATCCTGCTAAAGGTCCCTCTATCACTCGAGTCAATATATGGGTCTCGCGTCAAATTGAGTTATCAGACTATCAGTGTTGGATGAAGGTACTTGCGTCAACTGATGTCAGCTGAAGGTACCTTTGTCAATCCTCCAAAGACGTTGGTAGACGGGAATGCTATGTCCCTGGTACGCTGACCTGCGTGTCATGGGGGAGCATAATGGCCACAGGGGAGTCGAAGGCTCCTAATGACGGACTTGCGTGGCATGTTAGGTGTTAAAACGACTCGTGTTATAGTCACACACACACACACACACACACACACACACACACACACACACACACACACCTCCCCGTGCTCCCTGCTACACGCTGGCTGAAACTAATCTGTTAAAACAAAGGAAGAACATTACAGTGTTTATGTATCACTGGCCGAGCTGTACCCTGGAGCTCAGTGGGCTGCGTGATCACCAGTTCATAAATCACGTGTGTGGCCTTCAACAACATAGTTATGTTCACCATGTTGTTCTCCAGACATGTGGTGCGAACAGCATATGGGAAGGAGATGTCTGGCACCATTTTACTTAGCTGTTAAGAACTGGTACTAGTTTCAAAGATGTGTTTCGGTGGAGACAAGGTGGTGGTGGTTTGTTTTCGATTCAGTTACTAGGAACTCAAATTTCCAAGTAGCACCGGCTATGGTGAGCCCGTAATTGCGTTCCGTTATTCGCCATTACCGTGTTACTGTGATATTTGGGTCAAAGTTTTATTTAGACATTTATATATTTATTTAGATAAGATTTTTATTCAGGTAAAGGTACATACATTGAAAATTAGTTACAAATATAATGTCCTGATTAACAGATACAATGAACATACAATGTCTAAAGTCAAAGAATTACCGCGCAGGAGGTACTAACGTTTCATCTACATAGGCAACTTTTTCCTGTTGTTAACGACGCCAGTGGATAATGCAGAGAAGCCAAGAGGAGCCGTTATATAATATATATAATAAAATATATAAAATAATAAAATCTATATTATAAAATATAAAATAATTATAAAATTATAAATTATAATAATTATAAATAAGTTATAAAATAATCAGTAAAACAAAAAGAAAAGGGTTAGAAAGGGGGCATGAGAGGGAGGTGAGAAGAGGAGGAGTAGAGGAAGGGTCCACTAATAAACACGTGACCCTACATGAAGGTCAAGGCTCTCGGCCAAACCTGACAGTCACACCTTCAAACATTAGTGACAGCCAAGAGGTGATACACGAGAGTTTCCAGGTCTGAGAACAGATATCTTATGACTTTGGTGTGTTGTGGAGGGGGTGTTCCAAGATGTTGTGGAGGTGGAGGGGGGGGGGAGTGTTCCAAGATGTTGTGGAGGTGGAAGGGTTGTTCCAAGATGTTGTGGAGGTGGAGGGGTTGTTCCAAGATGTTGTGGAGGTGGAAGGGTTGTTCCAAGATGTTGTGGAGGTGGAGGGGTTGTTCCAAGATGTTGTGGAGGTGGAGGGGTTGTTCCAAGATGTTGTGGAGGTGGAGGGGTTGTTACAAGATGTTGTGGAGGTGGAGGGGTTGTTCCAAGATGTTGTGGAGGTGGAGGGGTTGTTCCAAGATGTTGTGGAGGTGGAAGGGTTGTTCCAAGATGTTGTGGAGGTGGAGGGTTGTTACAAGATGTTGTGGAGGTGGAGGGGTTGTTCCAAGATGTTGTGGAGGTGGAGGGGTTGTTCCAAGATGTTGTGGAGGTGGGGGGGGGGTGTTCCAAGATGATGTGGAGGGGGTGTTCCAAGATGTTGTGGAGGGGGTGTTCCAAGATGTTGTGGAGGTGGAGGGGGGGCGTTCAGGGCTGTTGTAGAGGTGACAATCTTTGCGGTAAGTAATGAATCAATTTTAAGTAGTCCCAGGCTGATATTCAATGTATTATTGAATACATGTTGTATTCAGTAATACAAGCTGACATTCAACAACTTGTATTCAACAAACTGACATGTTGTAAAATGGTATTTGATTCTTGTCCTATGATAATAGAATATTTGTGCTGTACAAGACTTTGGTACAATTGTTCCTTTGTGACCGTAGTATACATAGTCACTATTCAAAGAATTTGATACACACAGCCTGTTGGAGACGTCAGTGTGTTTCTGATAAAAAACACAATTGCTAACTGTTTTTGTTCTTGAAACGAAGTTGATATTAACAATTTTGACAGAAGAAACTTTGGCTAAATTATCAGTATAAGAGAGAAGCAAAGAATTGATAAAACCCTAACCTCCTCTCGGTGTATGGTTATATAGGGATCCTTTTTTTTACCTGCCTCGGAGATGAATCAATAACAAGTCAAGGATATTGCAGCAATCTCGAGGATCTTGGACTTTTATCCATAAATACATTCAGGGTTACAAACTCTCAATGCTCTAAGAAACATCTTGGTGAGCACCGAATATTTGAGTTTAATGGGGGTTGTTTTGAAAAATTAGGCAATTCAATTTCTTTATTATGCACCCCATACTTCATTCATAATGTGCTGCGGGGAATCCTAGCGAAGTATCTCAAATTAAAGTCAAATATTCAATGTTACTCTCAACGGTTCTTAGAACATTGAAAGTATATAGCCGTTAACGCTACAGAAAACAAATCCCCATATTTTAGACTTCATGAAAACCACAGAGGTTAATATAGGAAGAGATGTTTTTCAATGGGTGACACTGGAGCCGACCCCGTCGATCTGGCCTTCGACACTCCCATACCCCCTCATGTGTCATCTTGAAAAGTTGGCTCAGACTAGCCCAAAACATCTACCTTGAACAATCTGTTTTATAGATACATATATATCAGAATAAAGCAAAAAGAGGAAACAAAACCGGGTACACAGGGATGCAAAAACCGGGTACACAGGGGTGGAAAAACCGGGTACACAGGGGTGGAAAAACCGGGTACACGGGGGTGGAATAACCGGGTACACAAGGGTGGAAAAACCGGGTACACAGGGGTGGAAAAACCGGGTACACAGGGGTGGAAAAACCGGGTACACAGGGGTGGAAAAACCGGGTACACAGGGGTGGAAAAACCGGGTACACAGGGGTGGAAAAACCGGGTACACAGGGGTGGAAAAACCGGGTACACAGGGGTGGAAAAACCGGGTACACAGGGGTGGAAAAACCGGGTACACAGGGATGGAAAAACCGGGTACACAGGGATGGA